ATTCACTGCAGAGCATCCATTGCTGAGACACTGATGTAATGCTGAATTTCTCCAAATCTGTTCTGATGAAGAAACAAACTTACTGTACCTACACCTTGGATGGCCTGAGGGTAAGTGATTTTTCAGCAAATTGCCATTTTTAATGAGGAAATTATTGAAACATTGCACAGATCTTTGCGATGCTTTAACTATAAATAAGATCAGAAGAGTGGCATTTGGTGGTTGTTGGTAAGATCTGTATGGTCTCCACTAGACCACAGCACTTTAATCATGACCTTCAGGAAAAGTTACTTAGTGCTTAGCTCTGTGCATTGGCAGATTTTTTTTTTTTGTAATTTAGTTGCTTGTATATTTGCACAGGTTATTAATACTACAAGAATTTCTCAAATCAGGTTGCAATGAGAGAATTTACATGCACATCTTACATCAGTGATGCTTGCTCAAACTGTGTTGTTTTATTGGAAAAAGGGTGATTTGAGGGGAACAGTTCATACAAATCCTGATCAACAACTAGATTTGTGCAGATTACCGCGGTTGTGGCTTTGCATGAATATAAAACATCAGCATGTCTATGGGTTTATTCAGTTTAATCATGTCTTGTGCACATATCTATTTGTTTTGCCATAAAGAAAAACAAAAGCCTTAATGATTTCAGCATTTACTGTAAATGTGTTTTTTGGGGTTTCTTTAATGAGCTACCTTTGCACAACAAAACTCAGTCATTTATTGTCTAGTTTATTTGCAAAATAGGGATAATTGGCAAAAATCTTTGATAAAGAATTCAAATTAAGACATTTATCTTACGTTTGTTGGATTGTTGAACAAAACTGGTGTCAGATTGTGCATGTAAACGCACTCGCTGAAACTGTGTCAAGGTACCCAGATAACAAAATATCTTCTAAAAAAACATTTTGCTAACATTATGAAAAAGTTAGGCTATTTCTGAATGTTCTGTAAACTTTCAAAATGTCCAGTTTCTATACAGTTTTTTTTAAAGTTCCATTTTATCATTTTGTATAATTTTTATCATTACAGGAACAGATACTTTTGAATGTTCTTTTTGAACATTTTGAAACAAGTAGTAACATTTAAAACTAATGTTAAATGAATGTCCAACTGACGTGAAAACATTACATGAACAATGTATAGATAATGTTTTTCTGCAAGCGTTTGGAAAACATTATTGAAGACCAGATAACTTTGAATGAACGTTCTGTTAACGTTACTGGAAGAACTTGGAGAACCTTGCTGGAAAGTTCTGAGAACGTTCCCTGTTAGCTGGGAATACAGCAACATAAGTGTTAAATGATTGCAAATGTCACATACATGCATGTGTTAATGGGAAATGTCACTGTGCAATGTTGTTATTCCTGTCTGGAATCTCAGCTTTCTCAAACCACAGTTCCCTGAACTGATTATTCCAGTTGTCAGTTACGGTAATGGATGGCCTTTGTGTATGTTTTGTTGCAACTGAAGCATGCATAACCAAACCAGTTGTGGGCACTTTTTTAATGCATCAGATTACAAGGGCAAACACTGGACGATGACATCAGCCACCCGTCCATCCATTCATGAGTCAACGTCCATCAATCATCTCTCTTTTCATCTGGCTCTTAAAGGAACAGTTCACTTGGAAATGAGTCAAGTCAAATATATTTCTATGTGCTTTTCAATGTACACATTGTTCTAAAGCAGCTTTACAGAAAATTGTTAATATTTATAATTTTCATATCTTCATGCCTTACAGTTGTGTTTAACAGATTAGAGCTCAGCGATAATATAGTTTAAATAAAAATTGTCATTATTTATGCTCGTTGTTTCAAACTAATATGCATTTATTATTTCTGTCAAACAAGATTAATTTTTAAACATTTACTCTGCTATTTTCCAGTTTGAAAATTGTGACCTCAAAGAAAATTAAAAAATCAAATATAATGTCATGCAAAAAAAAACTAAAGAAAATGTCTATATTGTATATAAATCATAAATCTTAGTTCTAAAATATTTTGTCAGCGTGATATTAATCTTTGTCGAGCAGGTCAAGGCACTTTAAAAAAAAAAAAATCTGCTTTCAAATGCAGCATTAAACAATAAATTTTTTTGTGTGTGTGTGTGTGTTGCATGAATATCTTTGTCGAGCAGGTCAAGGCACTTTAAAAAAAAAAAAAAATCTGCTTTCAATTGCAGCATGAACAATTAATTTTTTTGTGTGTGTGTGTGTGTTGCATGAACGAAAGAAGGTTTGGAATGACAAGTCTGAGAATTCTACAGAGAAGAAAAGCCAGTGAGTTGTATGCAGTGTGAAATCTGCTCTGTTAGATCTATGAAAAGCAGTAAGCGCTGCCCCAGTCGTCAGATTTGATGCCAAGTTTCACGGCTCTCGTAAAAGGCACTTAATCAGACCTCAAATAGCCTTCACAGACTCTCAGTCGTCTTCCGGTGGCCGAGGATCGAGGCGCTGCAGCTAATGAATTCTGTCGTCTTGGCAGGAGGCTCATTGTATTTGTTTAAGCGCGTCACTGCGGTGCCATCAGATGGACCCGACTCTTTTAGTTTTGCTTCTGTTGTGAGCGCTGGGCTGTTTGCCAGCCGCAGTTTGAGTAAAGAGGGTTTTTCCCCACTGTGCTTTGAAATGCATTGTGCTTCATTCACACTTGCCATGCTTTCACTCTCTAGCTCTGTTCCAAAATCTAGTGAGCTGCCTACTTAGACAGCATTATAAGACATTATAGTTTGCAGACACAAAGCTACCTACCCCTCAAAATGTATTAAAAGAAGCTCACCAAAGCTGCATTTAATTTATCAAAAATACCATAAAATCTTAAATATTTTTACAATTTCAAATAACTATGATCTATTTTAATATATCGCAAAATGTAATTTATTTCTGTGAGGCAAAGCTGAATTTTCAGCATCATTACTCGAGTCTTCAGAAATCATTCTAATATGCTGATTTGCTGCTTAAGAAACATTTCTGGTTATTATCAATGTTAAAAACAGTTGTGCTGCTTCATATTTTTGTGGAAGCTGTGATACAATTTCTTTTCCAGGATTCTTTAATGAATAGAAAGTTCAAAAGAACAACATTGTAAAATTATAGATGTCTTTACTGTCACTTTTGCTCAATTTAATGCATCCCTGGTGAATAAAAGAAAATTTCTTAAAAAAAAAAAAAACCTATATCCTACTGACTCTGCACATATCAACTTTACTGTAACTGTGACTGTACGGCATCACTCCATTACTATGATAACACACATAAATCAGCTCATAAAATGCTGAAAGTGCACGGACTACACAGCACACACTGATATGTGTCTAATGCAGTGCCTGCTGGTTAAGTTGGGCTGTGGGTTGGAAACTATTATTGAGACTAGATAAGTCTGTTCAGCAGTCTCAGATCTATTGGATTTCACAGAGAGAAGCTAAAGAAAACGTGTGCTTGTATGTGACAGCACAGGGGTCGTCATGTCACCTGCAGGTTGTGATGTGTCAGCTCCACACCCAGCATGGAAAACAGCTCCAACGCTGCACACAAACCAGACATGTAGGTCACACATGGACATGTTAGCAGCATGCAAAGTGCTTTAAGGGGACTTACTGTACACTTACATAGTCTTTTGTATTAGTGCAAACATATGTCAAACTTTGCATTAAAAATGTAGCTCATCTCATGCTGTTATATAAAATCATTGGAAAGTGCAACTGTGCAGGTTAGTAAAAGTCCTGATGTCTATTGTCTACACAAGTATCTATCACACACACACAACACTCCATTTTCACTAGATCTGTGTTTCCCTCCGGAATGAAAGGGCATATTAATAATACACATTTCTTTCAGCTTGAACATTTAGCAAATGTTTTTATCCAGAGCAACTTACAAATTAGCTCTTTGATTAGTTTTACCATTTGTGCTATAACAACTAAGTTAGCAATATTTTTATTTCTTTCTTTTAATAACACACTGGCTGGTGCATCACCATCCTGCACATGCTAAGCTTATATCTAAATATGTTACAATTTAGATGCACATTGTCCTTAAGGGTGGCATCTTTCCTCATTTTACCCTAGTGTGTGTGTGTGTGTGTGTGTGTGTGTGTGTGTGTTTTTATCCAAGCCCAAAGGTGGAGCGCAACTAATATTTCTTGTAGAAATGAGCAATATGAGCTTTATATCCGCACAGAGGAGGCCTGAGATATGAAATCAGATGTGAAGGGCCTCCGGGGGACGTCCCGTGTCTCCTGAAAGCCACTGTCTCTACATTAAATGACATCAGAATCCTGGAGCAGACGTGGATGTGCGCGGGTTCATTGAGTGCATGGAGACCCGCTGAGAGAGGGAGAGATGCAGGGGAGAAACAGCCCTGCAATAAATCAAATGTGAATATATTTCATAACAAGCCTCAAATCTTTGTTTATTTCTTATTGAGTAGTTTTATTCTCACAGTGAGCGTGTCGTGTAGTTGCATGAGGAAATATGCTGAAAGGCTTTGTGTGGAGTCATCCGCGATTATACTGAGCTGTTGCATGATAATGAAAGCCCCTTGTGCCGCGAGATGGATTCATCCGTCGGTGGTCAGACAGTCTGAGGATGTGCCGTGCTGTCTTTCTATTACTGTCTGCGTGTGAACAGCGTCTTTCTCTGAACAGCCCCTGGAGACTGATGTCGTGTTTAAAGGCATACGGATCGTCTAGTATGCAGTTGTTATGACCTGTGCATTGCACAGTGCATCCAGGCTTTGCATGTAATTAGCATTGAAACATTCTCCCAACAAAACACTTCAGATTAAATATCACTCCAAACAAGATTATTTAGGGATTTTTCTGTGCCTTTAAAACAAAAGGAGAGAGAAGCGCTCTATGTACTAAGTGTGCATACTAAACATCCTTTGACAGCTCAGTCCATCTTCTTCTGTATCTGCTGCAGGAGATCTGTTGAAATAATCACTTTTGTAGGAGAAACTGGGCCATTGCTTGAAATACACATTTTCCGGCTAAATACTTTCATATCTGTCTCTTATAAATGTAGAATTCATCACATTGTGTATTGCTTTTGGATAGGTTGCATCAGTCTGAATCCCTAGTGATATTCTTCTAGTGTTATTTTAGTATTATTTATATTATTTATTTTAGTATATAATATTATATTATTATTTATAATACTATAGTGTTATCTTTTACTATATAATATTATGGTATTGTAGTATATAATTATTTTTATATTTTCATAATTTTAGTTGTTTTTCTTTATGTGCTTTTGGCTTTTTTTAGTTTTTGGGATGTCCTGGGGGTAAGCAGATAAACATCAAATTTTCATTTTTGGGTGAACTATCCCTTTAAGTGGACGAATTTATCATTGTATCGCTTTTTAATAACTATATTTTATTTCAGCTTTATTACAGTTAACAAATAATAGTTTTAGTTAACAATAGCAGCACTGTATTCTGCAAAAAGTACATGAAAGAAAGAAAGATGAAAAAGGAAAGGAAAGAAATGAGGAAAGAAAATGAATGAAGGAAAGCAATAAAGAAAGACAGAAAGAAAGAAATAGCAATTTCATTACCTTAAATGCTAAAAAAATATATATATATAATTCTGGATGTCATTGTTAATTTTTCAACTGATGTTTTATGTTTGAGCAAAGTAGTGGTGACTGCTGGTTATTAATGCTTTCCAGAGAAGAGCAAATGTTTTCAAATCCTAACTTTGTCAGATGCGCTGATTTATCAAATGTCAGTCATTAAATGTACTGAATGACTTCTGAGGTGTAGATGAACAATTATCATCTGCTCATTTCTCTGCTCTTGGCCTTTTTTAGGAAGAGTAATGCAGAGCGCTCGGCTTTCGGTCTCACACACACACACACACACACACACACACACACATACATCACGGCCGGATGCTTCTCGTGGTGCTGAAACTAAATTGGATGGCTTTCCACACACAGAATCTCAGATTCTCACATTCTCCATCTCTGTCCAACATTCACACACACACACACACACACACACACACACACACAGAGGAAACTCAGCACTCGCCAAACACTCTGTGAGCAGAGATTGGCTTTGATGAGGAAATGAAACTCTGCCTTCAGATCCTCCAGGAATGATCATTTTTACAAGATTTGCATTCATGCATTTGGCAGACGTTTTATCCAAAGCAACTTACATTACATTAAAGGTTTACTTGTGCATATTATTAATTCAGGCCATCGTGTCAAGTTCAAAATATGAATACATTTTGTGTGTGTGTCACACTTACTGTATGCAAAGAAAAAAACAGTCCAAACAATCCCATAGTCATCTGGACAGAAATGTTAGTTTTAAATCTAAATGAATGCAGTTTCGTGATCATGTGATACTTGTGATTAATTTCTCCTCCACTGGCAGGAGTGTCAGGCTTCATCTGTTCAGTCTGTGTCTCATTAAACTCTGGGGTCTTTACTGTAAGTGATGTGAACGGCTGATTCCCATGTTACTAAACATTGAGCTGATTAAAGATTACAGCGGCTTTACTCCCTTACACACACACACACACACACCTTATATCATCTGCCAGTTGTCTTATATGTTTCTACTGTCCTACTTTTGCTTTCTGTTTTCTTTTATTCTTTGTTTTTATGTGGTCTCTGTCTCTATCAATGTGTATAGCACGATATTCGGTGATTACTGTATAGTGATTTATGGTTCAATGATAGAAAGTTTTGATAAGATAATACACTGACAGTTCTTAAATTGTTATTGGGCTGTTGTTATGTTCAATATTAATCTGTATTTATGTATTTGCTTGAATGGCTTAAAGGGGTCATTTGTTTTTTTGTTTTAGTTTTTTTGCCTAGTTGATTTAAAATGTTTATTGCAAGAATCACAGATTTCATTAAATGAAAAGAAGAAATAATGCAATTTAATCATTTTTGTTTGTACCAGGGTTATTATTGGTTTTATATATATATATATATATATATATATATACAGTATATATATATATATATATGCACACACACACCGTATATACACAATTAACGATAGTCAAAAAGCAATATTTACTTTCCTGTTTTTTAACATTTATTTAAAGAAAAACATTTTAATATATGGAAAATGTCAGTGACTTTTTTTGTCAGTGAAAATTTTTTGTGTCATGGCACAAATTAATCTTTTGAAAACTATTCACATTTTATATTTGTCTACAAAACACAAGCAGAAGCAGGTTAAAGGAGATTGTAGATGATCGCCTTCAATCAATGTGCAAATATAATTCTATATAATTTAGCTGATTTTTTTCAGTTTTGTCAGTTTGAGAACAACTAATATAAAACATTTTATGACTCGCCTTGCATACAGGTTTTCTATTATATATCGATCATTTGAAGCCATTACTTTTTTCCTTGCAAAAATGAATTTGATTGACTGCTCTCCCTTTCTCAGTTTAATGGAATGCATGCATGCCTGCGCTCTATGAAGTATTTGGTTTAGTTTATATAAGTATTAAGTATTTCCAGAAGTGCTGATCTGCTCCTCACCGCAGCTCACGCTGTACTTCTGTCATCTGTCACGTGTTTGTTTCACATAATTAGTTTTACTGCAGCAAAGTGACGTCAAAGACGAAGGTTCTCTGCTCAAAGTCCTGATTAATCAATAATGAAACTACCTTAGTGAAAATGTGTCCATTTTATTAGTGGTTTTATCGAATAGTGGCAGTCCTGCTATTTGTGTGTATATATTTACATATTTATATACATATTGCTTATATTTACATATTACTGTTCAACGGTTTGAAGCCAGTGAGATATTGAGAGACTCAATATCTCAAGAAATTAATACTTTTTTCATCAAGGCGGCATTAAATTTATCAAAAGTGACAGTAAAGACATTTATAATGTTACAAAAGAATTCTATTTCAAATAAATAATGTTATTTTGAACTTTCTATTTCTCAAAGGATCATGAAAAATGGTTTTCACAAAAATATTGGGCAGCACATCTGTTTTCAGCACTGATAATAATCAGAAATGTTTCTTGAGCAGCATATTAGAATGATTTCTGAAGATCATGTGACACTGAAGACTGGAGTAATGATGCTGAAAATTCAGCTTTGATCACAGAAATAAATTACATTTTAACATCTATTCATATAAAATATAAAATATTGTGTGTGTGTGTGTGTGTAAAATATTGCATGTATTTATATGTAAATTGAGCACTTTTTGACTATTTGATAAATCTCAGGTACAAGTACAATTTAAGCACTTTTTTCATTTAACTTCTATCAGCGTTCAGTTCTCCTGTGGCATTATGGGATATCAGCGGGTCCAGTGGTTGCAGCTGATGCAGTTTCTATTTTCACCATTCTCTGTAGTGTGTGTGTGTGTGTGTGTGTGTGTGTGTTTCAGAATGTAAATGAGCTCAATCAGTGGCTGTCGGCCATCAGGAAGGTCAGTATTTATAATGAGCACATGCTGCCGTCGTTTCACCCCGGAGCTCATCGAGGAAACAAATGGACCTGCTGCCTTCAGCCCGACCGCACAGGTGTGTGTGTGTGTGTGTGACAGTACAAAATTGACCCTTATGACTGGTTTTGTGCTCCAGGGTCACATATAATAATAATTATTTGTTTGAACAACAGTGTTTAAATGTTGCATTCACGTTCAATATGCATACCAGCCATGCAATTAGTTATTTTTATCGTCACTATAGTTAAAAAGTTTAGGCTCAGTATTTATTTATTTTTTTTAAATGAATACTTTTATTAAGCAAGGATGCATTGAATTGATCAAAAGTGACAGTAAAGACATTTATAATGTTACAAAAGAATTCTATTTCAAATAAATAATGTTATTTTGAACTTTCTATTTCTCAAAGGATCATGAAAAATGGTTTTCACAAAAATATTGGGCAGCACATCTGTTTTCAGCACTGATAATAATCAGAAATGTTTCTTGAGCAGCATATTAGAATGATTTCTGAAGATCATGTGACACTGAAGACTGGAGTAATGATGCTGAAAATTCAGCTTTGATCACAAGAATAAATTACATTTTAACATCTATTCATATAAAATATAAAATACTGTGTGTGTGTGTGTGTGTAAAATATTGCATGTATTTATATGTAAATTGAGCACTTTTTGACTATTTGATAAATCTCAGGTACAAGTACAATTTAAGCACTTTTTTCATTTAACTTCTATCAGCGTTCAGTTCTCCTGTGGCATTATGGGATATCAGCGGGTCCAGTGGTTGCAGCTGATGCAGTTTCTATTTTCACCATTCTCTGTAGTGTGTGTGTGTATGTGTGTATTTATAGTAGACTGTGTTGCGCAGATGTGTGTCAGTCGGAGCCGGTTGATGAAATCTGGCTTCACAGGTTGGTTCAGGTGTTGCACAACACTGATCCTGACAGCCGCACCCTTCCTATCCTCTGATCTCTGATCATTGATCTCTGTGCAGAAGAACTAAATCAACAGCTCTCCGGTCAGCGGCGGCGGTCATCAGTGCTAATGATCCATCATTATTGACCTGGCCGGCGTCTGCGGGGTTTGAATCAATTTAACGAGTCAGATTTTAATTACTTTGATTAACGATTCAGCCCAACCTTTGGACAGCTGTAATCTATCACAGGTGGAAGTGTGTGTGTGTGTGTGTGTGTACCTGTTTATCTATTCTGGTGGGGACTTAAACCTGAATACACACAGACTCATGGGGACTCGTGTCACGGTGGGGACCTAAATTGAGGTCCCCACGGGTAAACAAGCTAATAAATCACACATAATTAAGTTTTTTGAAAATCTAAAAATGCAGAAAGTTTCCTGTGAGGGGTAGGTTTAGGGGTAGGGTTGGTGAAGGGCATTAGAAAATACGGTCTGTACAGTAGAAAAACCATTACGCCTATGGAGAGTCCCCACAAGGATAGCAAACTAGACATTTGTGTGTGTGTGTGTGTGTGTGTGTGTGTGACTAATCAACAGCGCCTCCGTGTGACCTTTAGTGATCCATTTACAGTGTGAGCTCTTTCACCTCCTCTGTATGTGTGCATATAAGAAATATAAAATCATTATTTACGAAACTATTAATAATTTAATAATAATCAGCTATTACTGTACAATCTAATTTAAGACAACTTTTCCAAGTAACTATTCAAGTTCATATTCATTATATTAAACAAAAATTATAAGAAATAAATTACAAAAAACAGAACTAATTAAATAAACCATAGAACAAGGATGCGTTTGAAGTAAACTGTCCTTGAAGTGTTTTACAGTAACAACAGTATCAAGTAAAAAAGGTAAAAGGAAAGCACACACACACACACACATATATATATATATATATATATATATATATATAAAGAACAATAAGATGTCCCTTATGTATTAAAGCCCATTTCTGCCTCAGAATAAAAATGAAAAGGGTAATTGCGACTTTTTATCTCACAATTCAGACTTTTTTTCCCACGATTCTGAGTTTATATCCTGCAAATCTGTTTTTTTTGTCTGCCTCGCAATAAAAAAAAAGTAATTGTGACTTTTTTTCTCACAAATTTGAATGTATATTTTATTTTATTACTTTATTTTTTATTTTATTGTGTTCTATTGTGTTTTATTGTGTCTGCCACTGAATAAAACCTAAAAAAACTCAAATTTCTGACTTTATATCTCACAATTTGTTGTTGTTTTTTTCTTGTGAAAAAATTAAATAAAAACAATTCTCACAATTCTGACTTTTCTTCATAATTGTGATTTTTTTTTTTTTTTTAGAAAAAGTAAAAAAAAAAAAAAAAAAAAATTTTTAATTGTATTTTCATCCTAAGGAATCAAGCTTCCATACTTATGCTCACCAAGGTTGCATTTATTTAATCAAAAATACTGTAATATTGTGAGATATTACAATGCTGTATACTTCAGTATGGACTTTGAGTTTTGACGGCATCAGTGCTGGTGCGTCTGACAGCCCTTGTTAGGAGCGTCTGATTGAATTAGTTGTGGCTATTGTAAGTCTGAGCTGTTTATGGCTCTTTTGTTCACTTCCTGTTTCATTGGGCGGCTCAGATCTGCAGCTTTACTAATGAAGATGTGAATTTACAATGACAGGCCAAATTGCTCTTCGCTGCAGATGAAAGGAGACACGGATCAGGAAGGAAAGGCGTGTGTGTGTATATGTTTATGGCTCAGAATTCCCCAAACGTCTCTCCTTCACACCAGGTTTTTCCTGCTCTTGTACCTATTTCCATACGGTCGTAAGAAAAGAACAGTAAGTGAATTTGAGAGCAGCTCATCCTGTTATGTTCTCTCTCTGTGTCTAAATGAAATCTCAGTGCTTTTGTTCTTTAATGCAGAGCGTCGCATTGATTTCACTTGTGTGTCTTGTAGCCAGTGCTGAGAGACTAAATGTGGATATTTTGAGTGTTAATAATATATTTTGCTTTCTGTTCATTGGTAGAGTTATTAATATCTTAATTAAAATTCTTAAATAATATTGGTAAATTATAATATACTTTTTAGACCTGCAGGAGCATGTTTGTTGTTTACTAACATTTATTTAAATTTTTTTTTATTTTATTTTATATGTTTTCAGATATGTACATGTTGTACTTTATAGCAAACAGTAATGGGGTTATTTATTTATAAATATTTTAAATAGATATTTATTGTTAATATATTTAAATACATATATTTTTAAAATACATATTTAGAAGTAGTTAAAGGTGCAGTCGGAGATCTTGGAAAATGCTAACTTTAGCCTGATAGCCCTGAAAGCGAACATTTCTTGGTCCTACGCCTTCCACAGAATATATACAGATAAATACATTTAACTTAATGAATGCTATCGGGGTGTGAAGAGACTTTCAAGCAGCCTAACAAAAAATGTTTCTGAAGACAATCACCTATTGCACCTTTAATTTTAATTAAAAAGCTTCTTAAAATTCTAAAACACATGATTTGTCACATTGTTTACAGATATTTATTTATTTATTTATTTTAATATTAAATGAAAGGTGGTTCATTTTAATTTAATTTAATCTAATTTTTTTATTTTCATTTATTCATTCATTAATTTCATTATTTTAAAACATTTTATCTGCACATGTATTTACTAGTATCTGTTACGATTACATAATTGAATTCAGTCATTAATGTGCAGATTCTCATTAATGTTAAGGGTGTTGGCATAAAAATTTCGTCCTTTGGCGTTGTCGCCTCTTAAAGTTGATGTTCAGATGGGTCAGGATATTTTTTGGCTGTAGCACCAGCGACGCTTCATTACTCTGATTTGGCATCAAGGGTTCATCCAGTACAGACACACTCACTGAGAACCAAACCCGGCCCCTGTCCTGAGCCAATAACAAGCTAAGTAAGTCTCCCCAAAAAAGAACCAATCAGCCGCAAGCTGAGTTGACTCACTGGTGAGAAAGAATGACTCCAGACAAATGACTTAAAATACTTTGGCAGACTAGCAGTAATGCTGTGTGTGTGTGTACATATTTAAATAGATATATAAAATAGATATAAAAAATAGAAAATATAATTATAAAAATAGAAAATAATGCACTCATTTATTTTTTGGGAATTGGAATAAATACAGATATTTCATATATTTTGTGTGTGTGGGCACGCAATTTAATAGTAGCAAGTATATTTAACATAGATTGAAGTGTGTGTGTGTGGGTTATATATATATATATATATACACATATATATTCACAATAAATGAAATCTGTGCATTATCCATTGGTGGGCGTCAGTACATTTTGGAACCGACACAAAGGAGACATGATTATTGTTAATTTTTGTAAATGATACATGTAAATAATGCAATTTTGATCATGACATTGATTTTGATTTTTTTCATTGGTTTAGCAGTGCCAAAACATTAGTGTGAGAATCCTGTTGCTTTGCTAAAAGCTCATTTTTGTCATCGCTTTAAAATCAATTTTCTTTCCATTATTAAACTGGGATGAAGCATGAAGGCATATAATGATATTTCAGGGCACTGTCGGAGCGTGGACTACATTAAACCAGAGACCTGAAGAACGCATACAGGACTGTCAGTCTCTTCCAAAACCTAGTGAACAACCTCTATAAGCAGAGTTTTAAGTGCACTAATAAGGCAGCTCATATGTGTTGTGTGTGTGTGTGTGTGTGTGTGTTAATGAGTGGACTTGAGCTGTTTGTCAGCGCTATTGATGTAAAGTGAGTGAAAGCCTGTCAATGCTTTACCCGTTTATAGACCTGTGTGTGTGAGAGAGAGAGATTGGACACGTCCCGTCATCTATCACTGTCAGCATTTTACCCACTTAGTGATTTCAGATGCAAAGAGGATGGATTGAATGAGTTTAAAAATAGAAAACAGATAAAAGTAGGAATCAGGAGTCAGTAAATGGAGGAAACTGCTCTGAGCAGAAGAGAGAAACTCTTTTCTTATTATTAAGAGCTTTCTTAAGTGTGTGTGTGTGTGTGTGTGTGTCCCACACATCTTGAGTTTTGACGTGCCATAAAGTCTTTCTTTTCATAAAGAAATTAGTTGACAGTGTGTGTAGATTTTGTGACTCAGAATTTCCGCCCATCAGAAAGTACTGTTAATTATTTTTGATTATGCATATGCCGATGTCGGTTGAAGTCATTTCACCTTTAGCTGTGCTTTTCTGTTGCCATGGTGACTCGGTGAGGACGGTTGTGTTAAATGAGGGAAATGCTGCAATCATGATAATGGTTGTTGTAATTGCAATCCACCGTACGGGAATGGAATACAATAATTAGTTGTTTTCTCACAAATGACTAGTTTAGCAACATTATTATTCTTGTAATTATAGTGGAGAGAAGATCCAAGTCATTAGTTTTAGGGACATTTATATAATTAGTCTCTAAAACTAAAGCAAGGGTCACATATATGTGCATTTCCACATAGTGACGTAGATATGTGGGGGTGTGGCTGACTCTTAACTTTTATAAAGAATATCTCTTTGGATTTGAGACTTTAGTCTTTGCAACTTTACAGATCTTCTTTATGCACCAAGAGCTTGTAACACTCCGAAGAGAAAGTAAAACTTGAAATCGCATCATATGACCCCTTTAAATCATCATATTAGAATGATTTCTGAAGGATCATGTGACACTGAAGACTGGAGTAATGATGCTGAAAATTCAGCTTTGATCACAGAAATAAATTACATATTACAATTTATTCAAAGAGAAAATGGTTATTTTAAATTCTAATAATATTTCCCAATATTACTGTTTTTACTGTATTTTTAATCAAAAATCACTCAGCTTTGTTGAGTGAAAAAGCCTTAGTGTCACTTTTTGACTACTTTGCAGTAACGCATCAAACAGCTTTCTGGTTATGATCTCAGACAGCTGTCAGTCTCGTCATCCTCTCAGAAGACACTGAAAGGTCACTGTTCAAAGTTTTCTGTTCTTGTCCTTGCAGAAGCTGGCAGCCGAGTGTCAGAGCGCGGGATACAGCGGCACTCTGATCCCGTATAAGTGTGATCTGTGCAACGAGGAAGAGATTCTGTCCATGTTTTCGGCCATCAAGACGCTGCATCAGGGAGTGGACGTGTGCATCAACAACGCCGGTCTGGCTCACAACGAACCGCTGCTCAGCGGAAGGACAGATGGCTGGAGGAATATGATCGATGTGAGTTAGAAACACACATCATTACTCTTGCCGTCTATGTAGGCAGCATCCCGGCCGACTGATTTGTGTGACTTGAGGAGACTTGCAGTGCAGTGCTGTTCAATATCCTAATGTTGCTGTCTGCTTTTCCAAGCAAAAATGCTGCCTACGTTTTAAAACAGCCATGGAAAGGTCACACTTTTATCCATCGTTTTTGCATTTTTAATTTGCGCTCACCTCTTCAACTCTCTTTTTTAAGCGCTTCATCAAGTGCGGTTAAATGAACTGCTGTAGGCACTCAAACAACACTTCATTTATTTGTTTACTGCAGTTCTGCTCTCACTCAAAACCACTTTCCCTAACTGAACAGCGGCTTGAGCGACAGCAGATGTTGCCCATGCAATGTGCATCTGCAATGCCAAGGTCGTGGGTTCGATTCCTTGGGAATGCATGAACTGATAAAGTGTAAACCTTCAATGCAATGTAAGTCACTTTGACTGCCAAATGCATGAATGTAAATGTAGATGCAACAACTAACAGTTGCTTTGGGTTGCATTCTGAGTGAGTTTGATTCATACATTGACATCTGGAACCTTCATTTTCCTTTTTTTCCCCCTTAATTGCCACATTATCATTTGTCTTTTTTCCTATACTATACACTGTATTTTTTATTCATTTTATTATTTTCATATTAATACTAAAAGAGTAATTGGTTTGTTTAAGGGAAAATGCTTTGTACAGGCCCTTCTGGGATTTTTACTCTCTTGTAATATTAGTTTGTAGGTGGACGATACTGACGGAGCGCTCACTTATATAACACACAATCACTGCACCAAAACAAGGCTTTTAATCTTTGCAGGATAGGGACAGCAGCTTCAACAGAAAACTGTCCAATCATATATGTTTCAGTACTATTTATTTACTTTATGATTTTTACTCATATTTTGAATTAGCTTTTATTGTTATATTTTCATTTTAGTTACATTTTTAGTTATTTTGTTATGTGCTTTTGTTTTTTATTATTATTTTATTTACACAAATAATATTTTTATTTATTTAGATATTTCATTTAGAATTTTTCAAAGTATTTTGAATTTAGTATCATTTTATTTTTGTTTTGTTTCAATTCAGTTTTTGTGTACGTCAACTTAAAAATATTTCAGTTAGATGCCGAGGCAATATTTCAATATTTTCAAGTAGTACAAGTTGAAAAACTAAAATGACTAAAACTACAAATTTTTAATTTTTTATTAGATTTTATTTTATTATTTTCTGCCTCATTATGTCATTCTGACAATTGTGAGAAAAAAGTCCAATTTTATCTTATTTAAATTTAAATTTTTAGTAAACGTTAACAACACTGGTCAAAATAGGCTTCATTTTCTTTATGCAAAGTATAAATTCTCATTTTCTTTTTTTTTTTTACTGTTTTTGCTTTGCATTGCTTTTACTTGCCTTGTATTCAAGGCATACATTTAATCAGTTCATGCTTTCCTTGGGAATTGAACCCATGACCTTGGCGTTGCTAGTGCCATGCATTCAGGAAAGATTTTTAAGATATTTAAAATATGATCTAGACATGATCTGGATCTTTATCATCCATTCATACACCATCTGTCTTCCTGTGCAGGTCAACATACTCGCTCTGGCCATCTGCACGCGTGAGGCCTACCAGTCCATGAAGGAGAGACACGTGGATGACGGACACATCATCAACATCAACAGGTGCTGCGCTTTACTGTCTGTCTGAGTTGTTTACCAGCAGAAATGTGCTGCTGTACACACTCATCCGAGGCTGTTGTTGATGATCTCTCGGCAGTATGGGGGGTCACAGGATGGTGCCCAGCGCTGACGAGCACTTCTACTGCGCCACTAAATACGCTGTGACCGCTGTGACAGAGGGACTGAGACAAGAGCTACGGGAGGCCAAAACACACATCCGAGCCACGGTGAGCCTGTGCACACACACACACACACACACACACACGCTTATTATATGTAACTAAAATTAAAACCATAAAAACTCATGTTGTTACTTTAAATAAAACAAACCTTAACTAAAATAAAATATAAAAAACGTATTTTATTTCAGCTAGTTGCCAAGGTAACATTACTCATTTTAATTTGGTTTGATTTGATGTACTAAAATAACTCAAATTGAAATAAAAATAATGAAAATTATGTAGAAATATAAAAAAAAACTAATAAAAATTACAAAGGCACACAATAAAATGACTATAGCTTTAACTAAAAATTAAAATAAAGACAGAAAATTATAAAAACTAATTAAAAAAGTAAAAAAAAATAAAAAAAATATGAATAAAAACTAGAATAGCATCTTAAGGATAAATAACTCAAATAATTTCCAAACTCCAAAGAGTTAATGAAAAGCTAATTATTAACTGAAACAAAAAAAGGAAAAACTACAAAACAATTAATAATTTTAAATTAAAACACTTATTTAAAAAAGTTGTTTACGCATGTCATGTTACCATTAACCAGCATCAGAGAACTGTGAATATGCAAATGTGTTGTTAAATTATTGAAATAATAACTCTGAATGAATAAATGAATGAATGAATGGTTTCAGATGACAAAAAAACGTTTGTAAACCCCTAAGAATAAAGTAAAAAATAAAATAAAATAAATAAATATATAAATAAGTAAATAATTAAGTAAATAGTTTGTCAAATGGTTTCAGATGACAAAAGCAGATAACTGGTTGTTTTATCATTACACATCAGCTGAGGAAAAGGTCTGCAAAAAATATTTGAGATTTGAGTTAAATTTAATAGTGCTTTAATTTAAATAGGTAGCATTTTACTAATATTCTTTCATTAATAATTTTTTCATTAATTGTTATGTTTTTTTTTTCTCTTTGGTTGGCTATTAATTAATGTCAACCAATAGTCAAAGAGTTGTTTAATTACTGCTTAAATTGCAGTTGTAGATAATGCAGACTTTATGAAATCTTACCAACAGTTAACACGGTCATTTAATGCCAGTTCATGTAATAAAAGTTCCAGCAATTATAGCAAATAACAATAGATTTTAAAAGACTAATGGCTGTTCAGCATTGTCATATTTATTAACCTATCAGTTTTGCTTTTCTCCTAGTGTATATCACCTGGAATAGTGGAAACTGAATTTGCCTTCCGGCATCACAACAGCGATCCGGAGAGAGCCGCGGCTGTTTATGAAAGTATAAAGGTAAACAGATCGTGTGTGTGACGTGTCTCTTCATACAGGTCCTGCTGTTTAACTGCATCATGGCTGTTTGTCTTCTACAGTGTTTGAAAGCAGAAGACATCGCCGGTGCCGTCACATACGTCCTGAGCGCGCCTGCTCATGTTCAGGTGAGTCCACAACAAACACATACACTACCAGCAAATCAGTATATTAGAATGATTTCTGAAGGATCATGTGACACTGAAGACTGGAGTAATGATGCTGAAAATTCAGCTGCGCATCACAGGAATCAATTACAGTTTACTATATATTCAAATAGAAAACAGTTATTTTAAATAGTAATAATAATATCTGATTGTATATGTTATAATGTTACACAAAACCATGTGTAGTTTTAAAAACAGATCTTTATTTCAGGAGCTAATTTTTTTCAGAAAAACAAAACTGCTTTAAGATTTAAAGGAATAGTTCACCGAAAAATGAACATTTGAAATGAAAATGTACTCACACTCAGGCCATCCAAGATGTAGATGAGTTTGTTTCTTCATCAGATTTAGAGAAATGTAGCGTTTAGATCACTTGCTCACCAGTGAATGGGTGCCGTCAGAATGAGAGTCCAAACAGCTGATAAAAACATCAATAATCCAAACGACTCCAGTCCATCAGTTAACATCTTGAGAAGACAAAAGCTGTGTGTTTGTAAGAAACAAATCCATTATTAGGATGCCTTAACTTCAAACCATTGATAGAAATGTAGCATTGCATCAGTGTCTCAGTAATGGATGCTCACCAGTGAATGGGTGCCGTCAGAATGAGAGTCCAAACAGCTGATAAAAACATCAATAATCCAAACGACTCCAGTCCATCAGTTAACATCTTGAGAAGACAAAAGCTGTGTGTTTGTAAGAAACAAATCCATTATTAGGATGCCTTAACTTCAAACCATTGATTCTGGCTAAAATATAAGTCCATAATAACGCTTCCTCCAGTGAAAAGTCCATCTCCTGTTGTCTCTCACATCAAAACCCTCTAACATATTTGTTTAGAGCCGTTTCGGACTGTTTTGGCTTGATCTGTGCAGATTTCTCTCCTGATTCAGACCAGACCACTTTTTCACTGGAGGAAGCGTTATTATGGATAGAGGATTCATATTTTAGCCAGAAATTTAAGTTAAAAATGTCTTGATGGATTTGTTTTTTTTGTTTTTGTTTTTTTACAAACACGCAGCTTTTAACTTTACAAGATGTTAACTGATGGACTGCAGTGGTGTGGATTACTTGTGATGTTTTTATCAGATGTTTAAACTCTCATTCTGACGGCACCCATTCACTGCAGAGCTAAAAATGTCTTGATGGATTTGTTTTTTTTGTTTTTGTTTTTTTACAAACACGCAGCTTTTAACTTTACAAGATGTTAACTGATGGACTGCAGTGGTGTGGATTACTTGTGATGTTTTTATCAGATGTTTAAACTCTCATTCTGACGGCACCCATTCACTGCAGAGCATCCATCGATGCTACATTTCTCCAAATCTGATGAAGAAACAAACTCATCTACATCTTGAATGGCCTGAGGGTGAGTATACATATGAATTTTTGGCTTAACTTTAAGTTTTCAAGAAGTCATAGGTGATGTAAGTAGATTAATATCCTGTCCGATCATTTTGTGCTGATCTTCAGACAGCGGGGAGACAGACAAATCAAATCACAGCACTATCACACTCATCACCTGCTGATCGATCTGTATTACATTTGTCTGATTGAATGAACGCATTGCTCTCTCTCTCTCTGTCTCTCTCTCTCTCTCTCTGTCTCTCTGTCTCTCTCTGTCTCTCTGTCTCTCTCTCTCTGTAGATCGGTGACGTGCAGATGCTGCCGGTGGAGCAAGTGTCATAGAAACAGATCGGGAACGGGAGGACACCTGCTGGGCACACCTTGTTTTAAAGAACTGATTGAAGGGAATTGGTTTGGGTTTGATCGGAGGCAGCGGCGCTGTGTGGCTCGATCTGACGCGATGCTCGGATGCTCGACAGCGTTTAAATTCACAGATGTACACAGTCTGCTGCTGTCTCAAATATAAGGGGAAACTTTCAGGCTTTTCTAAAAACACACAACGCCAGAAACTGGAACAAAAGAACGAAGATTTAATGTGTGTTACTGTCATGTGAGACCGGTTATACCGAGACCAGTACGCCATGAATTGCAATCATTTTTGGTCTTTTTTTTAATTTTTTTTAGGTCATATTACAACACAAGAGTGTGACGATAAGAAACAGTCGCCCGGTGTCGGTTGAGGTGATGTTAATTACTGTATTAATTTTTTCATGAGTATTCTAACTTGAATTGTATGTAGATGTGGTTCTCATACCTACAACAGCTACTGTTCGTTTGAAGCGCTGAAACGAAATCAGTGCAGGATTTTCATGAGAAAGAAACCTGTTTGAGTCGCACTCCGAATCTGAGACCGAATGAGAAATGTTGCTTTTACATTGAACTTTCACTGAATGTAAGGTACGACACTGGCTTCTTTCATTGGAAAATAAGTATGGAAACACTGTAGTGAGGACTTGAAAAGAAATAATAGTTGATATAATTAATTCTTATTGATTAAACGTGATTATGATTATTGATTATGGATAAATTCCTTTACTTTTTGCTGTATGTCACCTCTACATCTCAAAACAAACCAAAACTTGATTTCTTTGTGTTTCTTTTGTATTAAAATTCTCATATTGTTCATATTTGGGGAACTACCCCTCGTTTCACCAGTGGAAACTTAAATTAAATGACATGAAATAAATCAAATTCAATACTTGAGTATCATGAAACCTGTTTAGAAATTGTCCAGTTCACATTCACAATAAAATAAAGATATTTTGTGACATTATTTTCATGACAATTAAGAAAACAATTCTCATTTGTCTAATAAAAAAAAAAAATCAAATTAAAATTGGGTATTTAAAAATAATGGTAGCATTTGTCATTTTGCCTTTTTGTTTAAAAAAAATATATACATCATTTTTTTAACAGTAAAAACACTAATTACAAACGACATATTTTAGTATTTGTTTCACTGCCTTTATGTAGATTTCAATTGAAAAAATGTGTTTATTTAATACATTAAAACTATTACTTTATGTGTTTAACTGTAATTACAATAATGTCACAATGACAAATATGTGTGCTTTGTGACATTATCTTCCCCCAATTCATTACCATAATCCAAAAAGACTCTATTCAAATAGAGTATTTATAAAACTATTATATTACCTGTTTGCTTTTAAGCATATTTTGTTTGCTTGTTTTTTTCTTTGATTTCTAATAAATGGCAACAAATTACTACATTTATATTATAACTACATTTCAGATGTAGAGTATTTAATATCGTTGCACTGCCTTTGTGCAGATTTAAATTAAAATAATAATTTTATTACAGTAATTTTTTTAATGTAATGCCGTAAAACAATTACTTAATGTGCTTAACTATAATTAAAATAATGTCACATTGAAAAATAATTATGCTCCATAAAAGAGGCATAGTTTTCTGATTTCTTTTGGTTTTAAAATGAAATGTATATGTACGTTTTCTTGAGATTCGCTCATTTGAATTGGGATCTTAGCCGTAAATTTACAGCAGGTTGGGAACAAAGAACAAAGTCTTAATCTGAAGGTATTTTGAAATGTACCTGTTATAATGTATAAATCCACACGAACTATTACCAATGTTAACAGTATTTGGTTTGTATATTTTTTTAGCATGAATTAATTCTGAATTCGCATGAATGTCAGCTTTCAACGCTTAAAAAAACTGAAGATGTCCAAAATAAGGAGCTCCTGCTGTAAAGGAGAGCAAAGGGGCCAGTCGTTGCGCGCACTGAGGGTGAAGTTCACTGCATGGACCCTGCCTGAGCGAGGGTTTATCTCGTGTTGGACTGTTGTTCACGCCCATAAAGGTTAAACCAAACACCTGCTGATGAGAATAAAAGCATTATGGGCACAAAAATGACTCTTTTGTGTCTTTGACTGTAAAACAGAATCTTTCATTTTATTCAAATCAACATGAAATCCTATGACACTGTTCTGCAATGCATCATACAGTAAACTGTAAAAGTCTTAAACCCTAAAGAGGTTATTTCTGTCGCATATGAGATGAATCCTATAGAAAAAAAGTTCACATTTAGGCCGATATTTCAGATTTCCACTGATCCAGTAAATAATCCTCAGATGTGTTGCTGGTTTTGATCAGTCGGCGGTCTGGTCTAGGCCTGTTCCAGTGGCAGTTCATAAGTTAGTCTGGATTGGTGCTTTGTCAGATAGAGGTACGATGGAGCTGATGATAATGACTCCTTTCTGCTCGGAGTCATCGTCCAGAGAAAACGGTGTGATGGACTTTTTTAGTCTCTGAAACAAAAGAAAGCAGCACAGATCAGTCTTCACTCTTCACAGTCTTCAGTCTTCACCGATCCAGTGCTGAAGGGCTTGCATATAAGAAACAAAAATGTTTGTAATTTCATTTCAAATATTTTCCCACATCAGGCCCAAATCGGTTTTTAATTGGCTGGTTCTTTAACTTCAAACGATCCCTACACTGAAAAATATTTTCACTCAGAAATTGCTAGTAATTTTCACAAATAATTACAAAGAAACGACAAGTAGCACTGAGTTATACATGAAATTTTGAAGTACAAAAACTCTAGTAATCATTGTTTTATATTTCTTTTTCCAACAAATTCAATCTATTCACTGAATATTTAATAATATGCAATACTTAATTATTCATTTTGATTTAAATTACTTGATTATTAGTTTTAATGTAAAAATGATGTCAGTATTTATCTTTATGAAATTATCTTCACAAAATTAGCTTTGATTGCTGAGTAAATTACATTGGCAGTTTTGTTTATAAATACTTATGCAAGTATGTATTCTGCATATCAGGGACTAAACCGGTATAATTATTATGCAAAATCCAACTTTTATTCACCAATGATGCATTCAATTGATTAAAAGTGACAGTAAAGACATTTATAGTGTTACAAAAGATTCCAATAAAAAAAAATGCTGTTCAAACGATCCCTACACTGAAAAATATTTTCACTCAGAAATTGCTAGTAATTTTCACAAATAATTACAAAGAAACGACAAGTAGCACTGAGTTATACATGAAATTTTGAAGTACAAAAACTCTAGTAATCATTGTTTTATATTTCTTTTTCCAACAAATTCAATCTATTCACTGAATATTTAATAATATGCAATACTTAATTATTCATTTTGATTTAAATTACTTGATTATTAGTTTTAATGTAAAAATGATGTCAGTATTTATCTTTATGAAATTATCTTCACAAAATTAGCTTTGATTGCTGAGTAAATTACATTGGCAGTTTTGTTTATAAATACTTATGCAAGTATGTATTCTGCATATCAGGGACTAAACCGGTATAATTATTATGCAAAATCCAACTTTTATTCACCAATGATGCATTCAATTGATTAAAAGTGACAGTAAAGACATTTATAGTGTTACAAAAGATTCCAATAAAAAAAAATGCTGCTCTTTTGAACTTTCTATTCATCAAAGAGTCCTGAAAAACTAAACCTATCACGGTTTCCACAAAGATATTATCTGTTTTCAACATTGATAATAATCAGAAATGTTTCTTGAGCAGCAAATCAGAATGATTTTTGAAGGATCGTGTGACACTGAAGACTGGAGGAATAGTAATGATGCTGAAAATTCAGCTTTGATCACAGGAATAAATTACATTTTAAAGTATGCTTAAACAGGAAACAGTTATTTAAAATGGTAATAATATTTCACATTTTTCCACTGTATTGTTGATCAAATAAATGCAGCCTTGCTGAGCAGAAGAGACTTCTTTCAAAAACATTAGAAATTGTATCGACCCCAAATGTCTGAACGCACGTCTATATCAATGGTTCCAGCCAATAACCTGACATTTCCCTTCCAAAGCATAAACGGAGAGGCCATAAAGTACCTCAGTGAAGGATCCGGGCAGAAGCCAGAGCGTGTGCACGGCTGCTAGAGGAATCCAGATGATGGAGGCCAAAGCGATGAGCCATCCCACACCCTGAGCCCACGCCGGGTAAACGTAATCCTCATACCGCGCTGGCTTAAACTGAATCACCGAGAACACCAGGATAACCTGAGAGACACAGAAACACCTTTCAGTTCTAACACCAATCCACGCTGGGGTTTCAGAACAACCACTGCGTCAGAAACGTGTGATCGCACTCACGGTTATCAAAACAGGACAAATGACCCACCAGCAGACCCTGAAGAAAATGCTGGGTCTCTTTCCTGTCATCTCCAGTAAATTACTGGACAGACGCTTTACACCTGTTAAAACAAGAAATATAGCAGTTTTGTTCCATGCATGATGAAACAGATCAAGAGCTGCACACTGTTGTTTGTCTCTCACCGTAAAGCCAACAAACAGCAACCACCTCAAAAAACGCCAGGAACATGATGGACACTATATGTGGCATATCAAGATGCTGATTAGACAGCATGATTATTGCACAGGTGTGCCTTAGGCTGGCCACAATAAAAGGCCACTCTAAAATGTGCAGTTTTTCTGTATTGGGGGGTCCGGGGGCCAGCCTAAGGCACACCTGTGCAATAATCATGCTGTCTAATGCCACACCTGTGAGGTGGATGTACTATCTCGGCAAAGGAGAAGTGCTCACTAACACAGATTTAGACAGATTTGTGAACAATATTTGAGAGAAATAGGCCTTTTGTGTACATAGAAAAAGTCTTAGATCTTTGAGTTCAGCTCATGACAAATGGGGGCAAAAACAAAAGTGTTGCGTTTATAATTTTGTTCACTGTATGTGGCCTCATATCAGCCTAATATAACACGGTTTGATCAGAGTGCGATTCATAAGTGTTGTGTTGGCCACATTAACCAGTTAGTTAAAATGACAGGTGAGTGTTGTTCTCATCATACCTGACTGTCCAGGCCGAGGCAGAGTAGCATGAAAAAGAAGAGAACGGCCCACAGAGGAGCGACGGGCATCGTCACAAAGGCTTGTGGGTAAACCACAAACACTAGACCCGGACCTGCATGGAGGATCATTAGGAGGCACAGCAGATTTAACAATAAAAGCTCAGTTCTTTGATACAAACAACAAAGTAAAAGACTAAACATTAAAATGACCCACCGTCCACTGCGATTTCACTGACCGGCACATTCTGAAGGTGCGACATGTAGCCGAAAGCCGAAAAAATGACAAATCCTGCTAATATACTAGTCAGGGAATTTGTGATGGAAATGGCCAGAGTGTCTCTACACAGGAATACAAATTATGACTATGAGAAGAAAAATCTATATAATGTAGTATAAAATCGTCATTATTGAGTTATTTTTCTTTGAACACTGATGACATAAGGTTAAATTAACATAAAATGCATGGCAATATAAATTCATTAGCACAATAAATCGATTATCAAAGTGCTCTTTGCTCCAGAGATATGCAAGTACAACTTGATTTGCAATATTTTATACAACTTTCTGTGCATGGACGTAAGATGGTATGTTGTATGCAACAAGATTTCTTGTTTTTAAAAAAGTCTTTAAACTATATTCCCCTTAGCTGTTATAAATTCACTGTAAACCACGGCTTCTTGGGGCTTATTGCTTTATTTTAACACATAAATGGGTAAATTAAAAAAAAATAAAAAAACATGTCCGGGTGATGTTTCAAACCAAAATAAAGAATAACAATTTTTATTATTTTGCATAAATTACTAAATATTTTTCCTACACACTGATACATGAACTGCTTTCTTGTTGTTTTGTTTTTTCTTTCTGATTTGTTTATCACTTAGTTTGTATTAAATTTTTTTGGTAAAACTTTATTTTAAGGTATCCTTGTTACACGTTACATGTACTTACTATTATAATAACAATAAATTATGCATAATTACATGCAAGTAACCCTAAGCCAAACCATAATCCTAACCATATAGTAAGTATATGTTGTTAATTAATATTACTCAGTATTTAAATGTATAATTACACAGTAACAAGGACACCTTAACATAAAGTGTAACCATTTTTTTCACACTAAAATAAATATAAACATACTAAAAATAAACATACTTCTCTAACCTTTTCTAATCTTTTATTACAACGTTCTCCTTAGCACCTAAACATTATTTATCCTTCATGGAATCTTTTTCTGAATATTTTAGTTGGACGTTCTTCTAACTTTTTAAAGAAAACATTAATACAAGTTACAAGATTCAGAATGTTCCGAGAATATTCAGAAGTGACGTTCCCAAAATGTGTACAAATGGAATGTTACCTTAAAATGTTCTCTAACGTTCACATAACCAATAAAAAATTTTTTTTACATTCAAAACACACATATTTGAAACATTCAGAGAACATAAAAAAAAAGGTTCTTGGATCATATTTTTGTTAACTGGCATGATGTACTCGCTCATCATTTAATCATGTTTGAACAAAAAAAAGTTGCATAGTGTAGCTTTAACAAGAAGAGCGTATGAACACACTTGAAGAACTGCTGGCTGGTGGTGGAGGACGAGGAGCTGTTGGTCACACGGTCGGTGCAGTTGGCCGTGTTCCATGTGTTGTTGCAGTTTTCCCAGAGCAGCTCGCTCCGAAAAGAGCTGAACATGTAGTACAGCGCCCATGTGATAATGACATTATAGTATGTGCACATGATGAAAGAGATGGCCACCGTTGCCATGCCAACACCTGGATAGATTTATTACGGGTTACTGACCTTTAACCAGACCTTGAGTCAGTAATATATTCTCATATCATCTTATCATTATCAGCGACAATGCTATTTTGTCTATATGGATCTGAAAGTCTGTATACAGCATTAAACAGCATTAAACTTGAAATTAATCTCATGCCATGATTATGTGTGTATTTATGCACTGTAACCTTTCAGCAGGGGACAGGCTTTGGTCAGGGCCAGGACGGGGCCCCTCCTCAGATACTGGCCCAGCGTCAGCTCCATGTGCAGCAGCGGGATCCCCAGCACCACCAGCATCAGCAGGTAAGGCACCAGGAACGCACCTGACGACGTCAATAAACACGTCAACAGTTAACTGAGAGATGCATACCATCCTGGCATCCAGTTTGAAAAATAAATGTGTTCATTCCAATTCTCTTGATATATGATTTACTGCACATTCCACACACACACACACACACACACACACACATATAGAACAAACAGGAAATAATCATATGAAATGTAAATATACGTCAAAATTCTAAATATTTAAATCTAAATCATGAATATATGTTAAAACTTAGATTACATGAATTTAAAGTGCCCCTATTATGGATTTTTGAAAATTACCTTTCATGCAGTGTGTAACACAGCTCGAAGTCAATGAAAACATCCTGCAAAGTTTTAAATCTGAGAGTGCACTGTGTATAAAGTATTGTCTCTTTTTTCAAAAGAAAGAGTCGACTCTGAATCATTGAAAGAGTCGTTTTTAAAACGAAGGTCTGAATGAAAATGCAAATTCATTCTTTGCCACTAGGTGCCGCATTTGGAGCTGTAAAAATAGCTGTTTCCCTGGTAACGCTGTTCACAAAGCAGCACTGCGCTCACAAACGCTGCTTTATCACTTGCATGCATGTCAACCTGTTGTTGGGGACTCCCAAAACCAAAATATGAACCTTTCATAACCCATAATAGGGGCACTTTAAATTGTGAATTTAAAAGTGTAAATACAAATAGGCCTATATATAGTAATAATTCTGAATACATAAATGTAAATTGTGTATATATATATATATATATATATATACTGTATAAATGTAAGACAGAATATATATAGTTATAACTCTTAATATATAAATGTAAATTGTGAATATAAGTTATAACTCTGAATATAAACATTATTCTAAATGTATAGTTATAATTGTGAATATATAAATAGTAAATATATAAATGTAAAGCCAAATTTATAGTTATAACTGAATATATAAATGTTAATTGTAAATATATTAGTGCTGTCAAATGATTAATCGCACTATATCTATATATAAATACATAAATATATATTATGTATATATATATATATATATATATATATACTGTATAAATGTAAGACAGAATATATATAGTTATAACTCTTAATATATAAATGTAAATTGTGAATATAAGTTATAACTCTGAATATAAACATTATTCTAAATGTATAGTTATAATTGTGAATATATAAATAGTAAATATATAAATGTAAAGCCAAATTTATAGTTATAACTGAATATATAAATGTTAATTGACAGACAAATATTATGTAAACAAAAACTTTTATTTTGGATGCGATTAATCGCGATTAATCGTTTGACGGCACTAAAATATATAAATGTAAATCCAAATTTGTAGTTAAAATGGAATATGAAAAGGTAAATCCGAATATGTAACCATAACTCTGAATATATAAATGTAATACAAACATATAGTTATAACTGCAAATGCAGATGCCGATGCAAATCAGAATACATAAATATAAATCACAATATACAGTTATTCTGAATATATAAATGTAAACTTAAATATATAGTTATAATTCTGAATATGTAAATTGTAAATATATAAATGTGAATCTGAATATATAAATGTAAATCTTAAAAACATAAACAATATATCTGAATATATGGTTATAATTGTCAATATATAAATGTAAATTGTAATTTGAATACATAGATGCAAATCTGAATATATAGTTACATTATAACTATTAATATATAAATGTTTATTGTCAATATAAAAATGTAAATGTGTAAATATATTTTTAAATTCTGAATCAGTCACCATCTCTTGATCTACTCTCCCTTGTTTGATTTGAATAACACATTAGTTACGTGTAAACATTGTAGCAATACGTGATCTGAGATGGATTGCAGAGTCATGGTTGATCTTACACACCGTTACAGTTACAGATAAACACATTCATCTACTGGCACGCTCTCATTTTCATGTGTTGACATTTGATCTTTCTAACTTTTACAGTCTGAAAGATAAAGCTGAAATTGTTAAATAACAACAGAAGATAACAAACTCATTGTTAGGACTTTCATATGCATGGCTTCATAATGCCAGTTTTCACACCAAAGGTCCAATAAAAGTTGTCATAACCTGGTACATTAATCATAGGAGAAAAAACATCTTCGAACCAGATTCAAAGCCGGTTGTACTGGTCTTAGAGGGGTTTTGGGCACTAGTTGGCTGGTCACTAACCAAAACCAGCAAACTAGTTTAAGATGATGAGAAAAAACATGGTACTTTCGGTAAGTGATGAGGAACATTAGTTAACTGGTCTGTGTCTTACCTCCACCGCTCCTGTAGCACAGGTACGGGAACCTCCAGATGTTCCCCAGACCCACAGCGCAGCCGATCCCAGCCAGAGTGAACTCAATCTGCCTGCTCCATGTGGGTCTGCCGGCTTCCTCTTCCACCGCCATGCTTCTTCAGAGAGATTCAGTTGTGTGAAAGCAATCTGAGATTACCAGAGTAAGTGGTGTAACGATTGTTCAAGAGCTGTAATGATTAGCTGGGAGGCGTGGGACGGGAATGTGCACAACAGGCAAGCTTCTGTTGATGCTGTTTACTGCTTTTTTGGAGGTATTAGCATGATTGGGGTAAAACTGAAAATAAATAAAATTGAAAATAAAAAAAAATACAAATCTAAATTAACATAAAAAAAACAATATAAATAAATGATTAAAAACAAAAAATGAATAAAACTAAAATGAAAATAAAAACAAATTCACTATATAATGAAAAATAGAAACTAATTAATTAAATAATGTCTTAATATAAACTTCTGTTTATTGCATTTTTGGGGTTTCCCAGGTCCATAATGTACTTTAAGTACTCTATTTTCGTGCACTAATTTTGTACTTAATATACTAAAAATTATTCTTTAGTACTTCTTAAGATATCCAGTCCTTCAACTTTAGTCTCAACCATGAAACACTGGAGAACCTTTCATAATGCACGAAACTAATGTGTGTACCAGAAAGAAACCATTTACACAGAACAAACTCCACTCGCAGGAATTCATCCACCCAGTGAAGGACAATTTACCTTAAATAAAGATATGGATCAAATAAACTGGCTTTTTAAATTCATCCAAGTGCAAAAATACAAGCTACCCATTTTTTTTTAGCCCCTGTGCAATGCCAACAGTGTACTTCCATTGCAAGTGCTTTGTAAACATGATTTTGTTGTTGTTATTTTAAATGAGATATAAATCACTGTAATTAAAATTAAAAAAATGTCAATCAAATTTAATTATTTAAAAACCAATACAGCACACAAAAAGGATCCAAATCAAAGTTTTATTGGAAAAAAGGCCACAAGCACAAGTTCATTATCTATAACACCGAGTATGCAATGACGTTCAACATAAAGGACATGCGTTCACTTCAGGTGGAGCACCACTGTAATACATATGAGCGTACCAGAGATGACGGTAAGGGGCAGCTTCTGGAATGAATGCAAAAAAAAGAAAAAGCTGAGACAACGGTAAAAAAAAAAAAAAAAAAAAGATTAAAACGGAGAGAATAAAACTGGAGCTCTAAAAGAAGTCCACATCATCTGGAGCGTCTAAGTCACGGTATTCAATGATATTGCGAGGATCCCCACGCATCATTCTGGAAAAGACATAGCAACATTTTATTAGATTTTGTCCATTATCATCCCAAGAGCTTCTAAAACAATATCACTGTTCCCTAACTACAATTAAAATAGAACTGAAATACAACAGACTCACCGGTTGTTTCTAGGCTTTCCAGGGTAACCGCCTTGTCCACGGAAGTTGTCGTAGTTGCCCCTGCCGCCTCCACCATACTGGTTGGGTGGGTAAGGAGGACCACCTGTTAAAGTGTCAAAGAAACACCTCAGTACACCTCACAGATATGTTTTGCAGATGCACCACAATGCTTTGATTGTTTATCATTGCATAAATTCAATGCAAATAAAAAAATAAACCTTTACTAACTTTAACTAGAATGCGTAAATATCTGAAATTTGGCATGACCGTGGGAACCCAGCTATTTTGTCAATTCTGTAGAGAACTTGAGCAAGCTTCAAAGCTTAGATAATTTAATTTTTTTAAAAGGAAAAGGCTAGATATATCAATGTTTATTGGCTGCACCCGGTGTTGGGTAAGTTACTCTAAAAAAGTAATTAATTACTAGTTACTAATTACATCTTCAACAGTGTAATTAGATTACTGTACAAATTACTCTCTCCAAAAAGTATTTAATGACTTATTACTAATTACTTACCAAATCCTATATCAACCTCGACAAGTTAATGATACAAGGATAGACATGACACAGTTCTTTTAATTCTTTCAAGTAACTACATAAATTATTCTGGTCATACTTTAGAGTATAATTCTCACTATTAACTAAGACTTTTGCCTCAATATACTCCTAATTACTGCTTATTAATACTTAGCAAAGTAGTTGTTAAGTTTAAGTATTGGGTAGGATTAAGGATTTTGAATAAGGTATTGCAGAATAAGACATTAATATGTGTTTTTTTAAGTAATAATAAAAAGCCAATATCTAGTAATATTCATGCTAATTACCAACTAGTTAATAGTGAGAATTGGACACTAAAGTGTTACCAATATTCTTATTAATTCCAAAGTATTTAAAGTGAGATGGGTACATAAAAGCATGCATTTTAAGGTTAGACTTTAAATTTGGATGTTAAATCCACTATTGTATTGTATATAAATGTTCTACAGTCTATACAGTATCAAGTTCAATTACATAAGTAACTAATTAAATTACTGAAAAATAAGAGTAATCCCTTACTTTACTTTTTCAAGGGAAAAGTAATAAAATTACAGTAATTAATTACACCCAGCACTGGTTGCACCCCTGTTGAAAAACTCAATCATGACTTCCTGAAAATGCCAAAGCTTCAAGCCCGTGTTAACAACAATTTTTACTCGGACTCTACTACTTGAACTAACACACACCTCCATAACCCATCACTGGAGGTCTGGGCTGGCCGAAACCCATGAGACCTTGAGGACCCTGAGGTGGGAATGGAAGACCTCCCGGTGAAAGCACTCCTAATGAGAGAAAGAAAAATGAGAAATGTTTGCGAGATGTTTCACAACTTCCGATAATGTGATTTTTCTTCCGATACAAAATCAACAAGATTGCTATGTGCTTTCTACCCTGTCCTGGGCCTGGAGGAGGTGGAGGTTTCATCTCTGGGATGGAGGGTCTTTTTGCATCCATCAGGAAGTTGTTGAAAAAGACGACCTCTTTTTTTTTTACTTCCTCAATCTTGTCACCATGTTTGTTTAGAATGTGCTTCTTCACAAACTCTGGGCCCTAGAGAGAGATTCATATTTTTATTGATTTCGTCAAAAATGAACAACCTCCCTACACTGGAAAAAACTGATTAAAAAAAAAAAAAAAAAAAAAAAAAAAAAAAAAAAAAAAAAGACTAGGATTTAAATTTTTCACTCAAAAATGGCTAGTAAATTTTACAAATAATTACAAAGAATCGTCAAATAAAATTGCAAAAAAAAAACAAACTGTAAATTGACTGAAATAGTATTTTCCTGTACTCCAATAATCTTTGTTTTATTAACTCAACCTGCAGGGCCTAAGGCTACCAGATGAACAAAGCAGCATGTTATATCACACACCTTAAACTTTTTGCCACTTAGAGGACAAAGCCACTTGTCTTTGCCCAGTTCCTGTGTGTTGGCCAGCACAAACTTTTCCACTTCCTGTTCTGGATCTTTGCGGCCCATCTTTGCTGCCTCATCTTCAGACAGGGATTCCTTCACACTGAACAAGTGTCCCAGCTTCTCTTCAAATATCTTCTGCCAGTCAGCCACTACAAGAGGATCAAAAGTCAACAAAATCAGCTCATTTCTCTGTTACATGGGATTATTTAATGGTGAAGTGTAATTCCTTTGCAGTTTAGCAGTTGCAGCAAACTAACATTTAATCTCATCCTAACATTTTGGCCCTCGGTTGAGCCAGAAGTTGACCTTTTAGACAGAAATATTCAGACACAGCATTTACACTCTTTAGGATGTCAACCAACTAATGGCTTTCTTATATAATCAACTCTACATTAAACTGGGATACAAGAAAGAATTATAACAATAAATTAAATCACACTTCAAGAAACGAAGCACAGCCAGTTGTTGGCAGTAAAGGCAGCGCTTACCCTCTCTGTGAGTAATGCGGTTGGGGGGAATGGGCCCTCGCACATGGATAATGCCGCAGCGGTTTGGCATCTCGTCCTCGCTCGGGTACTCGCAGGTGTTATAATAATCAATAGAGTGTATGATACGCAGATAGAACAGAAGACGATCCAACACCTGGGAGGGGACAAACACATTACACTCCTGAATGAAACACCAAACTGAAATAAGACTGAAATCCTCATTTACACTTAGAGCTTTCAGTGAAATAGTTTGAGATCAATAAGGACACAAACAACATCAGAACATCAGTTTCTGAATTAGTGTATATCTTTTTTCTTCATCAATCGTGTTGCATTGTAATGACAGTTAGGCACAATAATTCCCAATATGAAGACACTAAGAATGAGATTTTCTTTTTACAGTATAATAATGAGAACTGGGCATAGTTAATTTTTACAAAATAAATGTCAATGAAAAAAAAAAGCACATTTGCAAAAAAGGCCTAATATTACCTAATATGATGAATCTGAGTGAGAAAGATTTTTTTTCTTCCCCACAGAATAAGAATAAAGATTTTTTTCAAATTATTTGTGTATCAATTATTTGTGTATTCCTACTACTTGTTTCACTTCTGTTTCAGTTTTTTTATAACCATTTCTTACTATGTGTCAATAACAAGTTGTTATTTTAGCATCTGTGTTTGGCTCAGTGTTGTTTTTTTAGGATTACTGATAAACTAATGTAGTTTGATTTGTATTAGTTATCTATTTTAGTTTTAGTTACAGTTGTAGTAATGTTGTCATTTTATTCCTTTTTTATTATGTCTATATAGGTTTTTTTATTATGTTTTAGTTTTTAGTTAATTTGAGTTATTTCAGTCCTTCAGCATACAAAATGGAAATTAAATAATATATATATTGAATGTATTTATATATATGTACATGTATATGTATATGTGTGTGGCTGTAGTTCTTTTAATATTTTGAATTGTTTTTAGCTTAATTTTTTTTGTTTTCATTTAAATGTTTTAGTTTTGAAATGTTGTTGTATGCATTTGTCATTTGTATTTCATTTATTTTATTTTATTAAATGTGTATATATATAGTATTTATAGAGTTTTAGCTTTTAGTTTTAATTACTTTTTCTTATTTGTAAGTCGCTTTGGATAAAAGCGTCTGCTAAATGACTAAAAGTAAAAGTAAAGTATCAGCTGTAATGCACTTAATATAAAAATAACAAAAGCACTCAAAATATGTAATTTACATT